AATATTTGCCACTCTCATCGACGTATGGACATCTCCACCATGACCACTCGTTTCTTAAAAAACCCAAGCTCAACAACGACATATCGACTCTACTTCTACCCTATGACGAGGGACATCCCAATATTATGAACACGTCGGCAGCGAAGAGGAGGCAGGTCCCTTCCGTTCAAGGCTTATCCTTGCTATCTAGGTTCAGTCAACCGCTTCCTTCTAGAACTGTCTTCTTGTTCCACCACTAAGCTCAAGCATCAAACAAGCATTACCATTCTCATGATCTACGCATTCTACAGCGACAATCGCGGACGGCAGAACTCGCATAAGCGCCAACTGCGAGTCGATGCCATAGTTTTGGGTATCGTGATTTCGGGTTTGGTGCCAAAATAACACCGTGGATTCATCGTGAGACTAGTGCACGTCTCCTTGTAGGTTCGTTGTGTGTTCAATCTGTTGACAAGAAATAGAACATACGGTTATCTTCTTCAGTGTCGTTCTCGACGGAAAAGCAAGTATTCGTGTAGCTCAAGGACGCAGATGGCGATGGCATGTTCCCGCTGCTATCTTATGCTCATCTATGCTTACAACCAACCTCCACTATTAGTGCAAATCCAGTAACTACTACCAGTTAGGACGGACTCCGGCATTGCTTCAATGACATTGACACTCGAGCGTTTAAACGGGCGCTTGTGGCTTGGGACGAGAAACGTCATGAAAACTCTGTGTCTTCTCAGCACTGCGAATGCCGTGAACTATCATGCAAAGTCTCCGGCTAGAGAATGCGTGATATAGTATTGAAATTTAATAGCTGGACTCATACATGATTCGGAGTTTACTGTATAGCTAAGTTAGGCTGGGGCCTTGCCAACGGACTCTATTTTACAATTACATGTGCAAATCGCCAATCAATGAACCCCCTTCGACTCTGAGATCGTAGCGCCATGGCGGCCCTGTGGCGCTGGGCGTTGAGTCGGGTTCATACCATCCCGATTCTTTTTAATATATAATACGTAAGCTCTCGACTACTTCCATACTGGCGTTCATCAATGTGAACATTTTTATAATTATCACGTCTGGCGATCTTCTTTATCCGTGCCTAGGAGCGTGTATACCGCCAGTATGTGAAGAACGACAATGGGGAAACTGGGGTTCTCGGGAAATATAGAAGCATCATGCTAGCATTCAGGCGGCTATCCTGCAATCATTTCACCGAAGTCTCGTCTACAAAAGCCATCATCAGTTAGTGTCGCATTGAACTTATAGATTGGAGCTCAGATCTGCTATTCTTAGCCCTGATGTTGTGGTCACTTGCATACGCCAGATGTTTATATTCGAACTAGATAGGCGTTCGCTTTCCACGCTGGAAGGATATATATCTAAAAATTCGACCTCCTTCCGTCTAGATTGTGCCGGTGCTGCTCACTCTTTCTGGCCATCATTCATTGTCATACTGACAACTTAAGCTATGGCTAATATTCATCATGTACTACGTGAGTAATTTAAAGGACTCAGAGGGAGTTATATGAAGCATTTATTGGGCTTTTGCTAGCTCCGCCCGAGAACGTGAAGAGCGCGGAGCGGAGATTTTGGAGAAATTACAATGAAGAAGCTGATAAATATGATGAGGTCTTGACAAAAAGCTGGAAAGGAGACATGGACTCCATTCTAATTTTTGTACAAATCTCACTCAACCACTCGTCTTGGTACTGATTTCTATACCTAGGCTGGTCTTTTCTCTGCTGCCCTCACTGCTTTTATTGTCGAGTCGTATCAAAAGCTCGAACCCGATTCTGGTGACCAAGCTGTCTTAATATTGAAACAGCTACTTCTCGTTCAAACTGCCTTAGCTTCTGGACATAGCTCGCCGGTTCCACTGTCATCTCCTACTTCAGCCATTCCTCATTTTCGACCACCGACTTCGATTCTTATATGCAATATTTTTTGGTTTCTCAGCCTCTCGTTCAGTCTCGCATCCGCCCTTGCCGCCACGCTTGTTCAGCAGTGGATTCGCTCATATCTGCAGGATTCGCGAGACACTTCTCCTATTATGCATGCCAAGATTCGAATTTACCTGCATGACGGGATCAAGGACTTTAAGATGAACAGGATTGTCGGAGTTATTCCCACCCTTCTTCACATATCCTTATTCCTGTTCTATGCTGGCGTAATTGCTTTTTTTTATAACATTAATACAGTAATTGCCGGACTTCACGTGGCTATTATTGCCTGTGTACTCTTGGTGTACAGTTTTATGACCCTCTTGGCTTTGCTTCATCGACGATCACCGTTCAGTACCCCAGTGGCACATTTTTTCTGGTGGCTTATTGGCATATTCTATAAATTTTTCATCAATCATTATCAGAAGCCTGAGGGTCCCCCAAAAGCGTCCTCGGATGTACTAGTGGATGCTGTTGATGGATTCACAGTGGCTAGAATAACTGCAACTCAGCAATCGATTCGTTACAAAATTATCAAGAACCTGAATCGCCTATTAACACCGTACGACGAAAGCCGTCGTGATGCAGCCAAGGAAACAAAAGAGGCCAACTGTAAACGTGAACGACAAGCGTTTACCTGGTATCTTAACACTTGTTCAGAGGACAGCGAGTTCGAAAAATTCGTGGAGCTGTTCCCTCTCACGTACCAGGGAGAAAAGTCGAAGGAAATACTTTATCCCATCATGCTACAACAGTTTGGGTTCTCTGTTGTTGGCCGACGTTTGCCGCGCCGAATCCTGGATCTATTTCGTACATGTACCGATGCCCTCGGGGCTGAACGCCATGCTCGTCGAGTAGAAATATGCACTTTGGCAATCGAATGGATTATCTCCATTCAGCCAGAGATATCACAGCTAGAGACATGGAAAATGGAAGCGTATTCTCTTCTCTCCAGTTCGATCTCTTCGGGAGACCTGAATACATCGAAATGTTCCCATCTACTCCCACTGGTCATTATGTTGACGCAGTTGGACACCGTTTTCAATCTCCTCGTCAAATTCAGCCCAAATATTAACAACTATAGTGGTGATGCAGACCATCCGCACGAGGGATTTACCGACCTTCTGTCGAAGAGTTTGCTAGACAATTGGAAAGATATGAAGTCAGAGAGACAGGTAATTTTATTAGAGTATTTCTTCGTGTATCTCCAACTGATCGATTGAGCAGTTTCTTATCGGCCATTTAATTCAGGCATTCCCATTGGAATACAAAATCGTTGGTTGTTTTGAACTAATCACCGTTCTGCTCGAGTCATTTTGTGATCAAAGCAAGCTGTTTTTTTCAAACCCAGGCTCATATGTACCGCTTTCAAGTTCCTCGATCCATGGTCCCGCTCATTACTTGCAATTCTTCCAGAACGCGGCATTAGAGCTTTCCAAGTTAAATACCAACTCAGAACTCACCGTCCAGAATCTTGACCAGTATTTGGAAAAGATTCTATCTTTGCCTGCACTGAGACTGAATGGATCGATGTTTCGAAAAGGCTTGGGTCTCTGTAAAGCCGCACGTCATCGCGATTTCACGAGTTATCAGATCCAGTTCTCTCAGATTCATAAGAAGGCGACTTTCTTAGCAGCTCTCGCTGTTTGCCATCCCCATGTCAGGCCACCAAATCAACCCTGTTCACTACCTGCAACCTACAGAGCAATGGACTTCGAACTTTTACGAAGTCTGATAAATATCAACGAGAGCAAGAAGATCTCTCTCAGTCAGGAACAAATTAATCAAGTAGCTGACGAGACGAGCGTGCAGTACATGGAGATCATTGACTCTCTGATGTCTTCTGGTACATCAAAGCTCTCGGATAATCCAGTTGGCACTAATTATGCCATGGATCTTCTCTTGCGTATTGAAGAGAAATTCCAAACGAAAGGCAAATCGCCCTCAGAGACGCCTCTTGATGATACAAAAAAATTCATGTCAAAAACCATTGAGAAAATAAAGGAAGAGTTGGACAAACGGACCGAGAATGCTCAAAAAGAGGTTACTGCCGTGTCTAACTTGGAAACCCTCCATGCAGAGTTACCATTTAGTATCTATCACTCTGACGTAGAAGATAAAAGCGACGTGACTACCGAAACAGATATATCGTCTGAACCTGACTCCTCTGTCGAAGTTGTGCTAACACAACCATCAAGCGATATTATGTTTGGAAATGACTATCCTGAGTCATACCCAAATCTCTCGATATCGACTTCTGGCCTCAGAAAAGATACAGTAGGCTCTAAAAATCAAGAGAACGGAGCCGAAATTCATAACAATTATGCTTCATCGTCGAAGGCTTTGGAAGTGGAAGAAGAAAAGGGCTCACCGCAATCCCCAGTGCTACAACGTGTGTTACTATTTTTATTTATTTATAAATTACATTCATCTCATTCTATCACAGGAAAATCCTCACGTTCTCTTGCTGGTCGATCATCTTTTCGTTCGATGCGCGCTACACAAAATGGGATTACTGGAGTTGGGGACTCAGACGTTCACTCGCAGAATTCTCGTCCGCAGAACTCTCGAAGAAACGTCTCCTTCAAAGTTGTCGACGAAGAGCCTGATACGGACAGTAGCAGTAAATCGGAAAGCTCAGAGAAAGTAGCAAAGGGCATGCAGACGGTTGCTATTCATGGTCGAGACGGAACTACTGAAACCTTCTTCATATCGGATTCGGATGGTTAGGAAAACTCCTTGGCGGCAACGAGTAATATGGTACCTTCCGGCGTTCTTGTGTATTAGTATGATGTACAAAAGGCTTCTGTACGGTTTATTTTTTAATTTTAATTTTATGGCTGTTAAAAGAAGCGAAGGAAAGCGTTTGGCCTCGGTGAGCTCGTGAGACTGGTCGCGCTCGCTCGTAATCTTAACACTTGTATTCCAACAATGGCATTTAGTTTTCACTTATGGCAGTTATGTGTGATTACCTCCAGAATATATACTCAATTCATTCGTCTACAAACTAATTGATTACGGTAGGCATATCATGCGGCTGAGTGAGGTCACATGCGAACAAAAAACATCTGCATTAAGAGGGAATCGAACCCCCGGCGGGTCGAACTCGAAAGTTCAATGGCAACGACCCAGGTTACCACTACCCCATTAATGCCTACAAAATTAACTAAACTAAGTAAAATATTGTTTATCATAGGGGCCAGCGGACCAAGTAGGCACATCTATATCTAACCGGAATGCTTTTAAATACATCTAGCTAAGCATCTAGAGTACAGCTAGTATCTACATTGATCTACAGTGTCTCGGGCTGGGTAAGTGCCAAGTGTATGCTATGTCGGGCTTACTAATTCCAATAGAAAGTGCTGTCATAAAGACTTGGAATACGTAGGCACGAGAAAGCGACTCGAGCGGCGGCTATGCGAGCATTCATGCCCAACATGGGGGTATATGTTATGGTCCGTTGCCTCTGAAGCTCTTGTCGGACAAATTGGAGCTCTAAAACGGACAGTGGGGGTGCGTCGCTCATCATCCAACCAATCCCATCCCGAGCAACTGGTACTGCCAGACGTCCAACCGTCCTAGAGCTCCATCCCCCAACTCTCGCACGTCATGAAGACTCGTGGTCAACATTGTCGCCAACTCCCCATCCACTACTGGCTTCGAGACCTTGCCATCCACCAACAGCGTTATCGAGACGCCACCATCTCCCGGCGTTGTCAAGATGCTATAATCCACTATTACCAGCTTCGGTCGTCATTCATCATCGCGCCGATAGCCGTCGGTCATCATGCACGAGATTACTATCCAACACCAGCATCGAAGAAGACGGTCCTGCACTCCTCTAAGCTTACATCATTCCAGAAGTGTTCTAGCAAACACCACGCTTCTCCGCGAGATCAAAAAGGCACTCATTCAGCTAAAAGCCATAAGTGATAAATCAATATTCCGCTGGCGAAGACTCAGAATTCCACCAGCGAAGATTGTGTAAGGTCGGGCGCGTAGAATTCCCCGTTGCTAGCGAGAATTTAAATTTGAAGCTGAGGTCATGAATGGCGAGGAGACCCGCCAACAGGATAGACAACCCTTCTCAAGAGCAGGCTAGACTTCCTGCGCGAGCATTTATAAGTAACCCGTTGAAACGCAGAGTAGAGACCACATACGGATAGAACGGCGCATGGATAAGAGAGGTACTTGGGACAACTATTACTGAGTTTCTTGGTTCGCCACTGTGAACGTACAAGGGGAATGCACTTAAAGAGATAGCAAGCCCGTTAGATTCGAAGTCCCTTACTCCTGAGTCAATGAATAGACATACCGGTATACGCCAGCGTCCCCGATTCACCATTCCCTAGTACAATACGTGTGTGAGATCCGCCATCTAACATGCTGACGGGACACCTATCTCAGCCCGCCACCTCCCAGCACGACAACAAGTATGTTGCATACATCGAAGCCCTGTCTCCAATGGTATCGAAAAACAGGTGAAAGGTCAAGATCCCAGAACCATTACTGAGATATTCCTCTATTTACCACGCCGTGATCCCACAAATTCCAGGGCGTAGACCTCTTCGTTGCGAGCGAGGCATTGGGTATCATCACGAAGGACACAAAAGCGCAATGGTCGCGCTAGCTGAAATGGAAATGGCAGGCGATATGGGCAGCATTAGTCATGAGGTCTTGAGACCAGAGTGGGACGGGAATTCATCTTCCTAGCATTAGATCGAAGATCCCTTTCGTTTAGCGGAGAGTGGGCTTGCGTGCACAGATATTGCTGAGGGGACAGTATGGACTGACTGGACTTGCCAGTAGGAAGCTGAAAGGCGACAGTAGCTATCATGAGCACGTTAGCTTTCAAACCTTGCCAACCAATGATACAATAACACAAACGTACCTGAGGGCGCATCACCTGCCAACCAATGATACAATAATACAAACGTACCTAACGGCACATCATCACCAGTAGTACATCCGTTATCGAACCATAACAGCCTTCAAACCCCCAGTCGTTGAATCCAACCATTTCAGACGAGCATCCAATCCAATCGAAGGTGATTATCATCCAATATACAACTAGCAGTGGTACTGCAAGCTGTAAGGCTGATGATCTAGATACTATCGCGATAACGAATGGCGCATGAGTGTTGGGGTAGTTGAAGCCGCAGTTGCAGCCGAAAATCAGGGAGTGGGTGGATAGGAGGTCCATGCTTCGAGAAGGGAAACAGGGAGTATAGCCGACTAGAGAAAGACAGGTGCAGTCTCAACTGCGAATCGTGTTTGGGGCGAAGATTGAAGGATCCATGGATTCGAATAGGGAGCGTGGCTGGCCGCACAATATCGACACATTCGTCATAGCTCTAAACTAAACGGTGGCTGTGTTCTGGCGTTCGAAACCAGGTCCGGACCGTCCCCGCCTGGTGGTGCGAATGATTCCGGAGGCTTTCTGTTCTGGTATGTAATGGTGTTGTAAAAATGATTCGTAACGTGAGAATTGGAGAAAGAGAACTAATATGGCACTCAGCATGATCGATGCTCGCATTTCGGTATCAGGCCTCTCATCGACATCTATCAAAATTCCTGGAATGCCAGCTCCTCATCGGATGTTTAGTCCGTAAGTAGGAGCTCCGAGTCATCAATAGCCAGTGTTCTGGGGTATTATTGTATTACAGAAGTGATTGCGTTCAATTACAGTGGGCGCTGGTTAAACTATCTCTGGGAGCGCAATAATTAATGATTCTTTTGGCCATTCGACTGCACTCATCATGCACAGGAAAGGGACTTCCAGTATAGAGTGCGGTTTATTGTGGTGGTTGAGATTAGACAACTTAAATCGACTGCTTACTTATTACTACTTTTCGTACCTTTTATTCAACCAAACCTTTTACAGAAACATAGTTGAGCAGCAGAGATATATTGATATACTTTGATAATTTCTTGTGTGGTACAAATTTGTAAGACAGCAATTATTTAAACTCAAACTTGATGAAATAAAACATGAGTTATACATTCCGAATACCTGCCTATCCGCAGGTCTTCGCTGGAGAGAAGGAAAAACCTCCTATAAGTGTGCCGCATCAATGGCTGAAATCATTATGTATCCTATCTAACCCACAGTAGCTTACATACCTTCAAGACAACGATATGCTCGCACGATAACCATTATACGATGCCGGAAGAGACTCCGGATTTTTTACTTTAACCGTCCCGTTGAGCTGTGAATCGTTATATTGCAATTTACCAGAGAACTTTTCCCTCGGAATGCCACTGTTATATATGATATCGAATTTCACTGAGGGACCAGTACCAGTGAATCTGCCTTTTCGGATTGTAAAGCTGTGACCATGTGAGCTACCGCTCCCAGAGAATGTACCTCCACTTAGGGAGGGGTCGAGCACTAAGTTGTTGATTGTGACGTTGAATGGTCGCGCAGGCCCTGAGGCCCAGTTGCTACTGGCTTCAGTTGCGCGTGTTCCACTCCATGTACGGTCGACTGTTAGAAGTATAGTGTATAAGAGAAACAATATGACTGATATAAAATGAGACAGACTTACGACCCATGTTTGAGAAATTTGTAAGTTATGAATATAGGGATGGATCGTTTACTGCGAGTGGCCATGTAACGTTTAAAGATTAATATATACTGTTTGTAGTGAAAGCTAAATATATAATCTGAATTTGCATGGGTCATCTGATTGATCTTCAATTGAGCCGGAAGTAAAATCCCCCGATGTTGTGAGAACATAGGAAGTGTCAACGGCTTGGAAGAGGCATTGTTCAATCACAAAACGCTGTAGGTTGAACGGCATGATGAGAGAACACCGCCATACGGCGCACAGAGTTCATGCGGACGATAAACTGTGCTAATTGTGCGCTGTGTTGATCACTTCTTCGACGATTCCATGAATGATGTCTATCAAAGGATGTGTAAGCTCTCCTTTGTGGCTTCTGAACGGTGCGAATCTGATTTAGAAGTGGGACACGCGGCTGATAACGACATTGCCCGTGCAGTCTACAAGATTCAGACAATATCTAGGAGGATCAATCATGTCAGATCACATAATCTTAACGGCACCAAAGTTGCGCCAGTCCCCAACTCGCACAGTATACGATTATTTACTGTATTTCAATTGGAGTATGAATAGTTTGCATCTTGGATCAAATAGATGTATACTTACCATCTATATCTGTTTTGCCGCTTTTCATCTTGTTTTCAACGGAATCCAAAAATAGAGTTGTACATAAGCAGCTTCTTCAGTCCCTCAGTCGCCGAGAACGTGTTAATCTGAGAAATTGTCGACTTACACACATTCTCGAGCTTTATTAATCATCTCATGGCAACTAAACCGCCGTTTCACTATATTAATTACAGAATCGATGTGCCTACACTTGATCGCTTCGATTCCTCGAAGGCTTAATTGCTAAATTGCTATGGGTTTGCCGGAGGCAAAGGTATAGCCAAACATGGCCACATCGAGTAAGTGCCAGTCGCTTGTAATACGGCATGCATCCAGCCAAAACCTATCAACTAGGTGAACACCTTGCCTTCGAACCAGTATCGTTAACAGTAGCTTGCTACGCAGGCATCGAATATTCTTCAACCTTAAGGCTACACATCGCCAATGCCAGCGGATGTGGTACCGCCGAGATCGAACGATAAAGACACGAATGTGATGTCAATTGAAATCGACCCGACAGCGGCGATGGAGTTCTAGCATAGGCTTACTTTGCAATTTAGAGTACGTGAGTGGAACTTGTTGCCGTTAATCTCCTAGCAGAAGCGAAAGGGTTACATCTAGGCAAAGGACCCGCTGCATATCGAAGCTAGAGTGGTCGGCTGGCAGAGAAGGAAAGGTACTTTGCACTAGTGAGAGTAGGATGGGAGTGGGCAAGTAGGCACGACTATAGCCGCAGGCACGGTTCGGACGGCACAGTGTGACATGGTGAACAAGGGAGTCGCTACCATGCACTCATTAATGGTAGGATACTATTGAGTCTATGGAGAAACATACCTGAGGGACCCTCACACGATATCCGACCATCGTCGGTAACATGCACCAGACCCAACTAGCAACTGTTTCAGAATTTCCGCATACGCAGATGCGATAGAGGAGAGACCCCATGTGCTAAGCACCGCCGCGTGCAAGTTCTTGCTAGTGT